GCAATCGTCTTGCGTTTCACGCAAGCTCAAAAATCCCGTGTATAAATAGTTATGCCTCTCTGCCTAAAACCCTTAAAAAGCAAATTTGGGGGAAAATGGAGAATTCCGATTCCAATTCTCGAGTTCAAGTCGTGAAAGAATCAATGCTTGGGAAGATTGCATGGAGGAAGCTAAGATGAACAATGAAGATACCACCACCAAATGTGCGGATCTCCTTCGGACGGCGCTGAATAAGTGCATAGAGGCTCTCTCTCTGATTCCATTGCTCGAGACAAGAAACTGGGAGATTCGTCAACTGATTGGCGAGCTCGATCCCAATAGTTCAGGAAAGGAGGTGGTTGCAAAGAATCATTCATGGATTGTTGTGAATTCGTCTACGAAAGAAAGCTTCTCTTACTTGGTTTGCTATGCTACTTCTTCTTTTGAATGCTTCAATCAAGAAATCTTGTCTTCTTTTGTGGTTTCCTATTGCTATTTCTTCATTTGAATGCGATTTTTGGCTTACGAACTTTTTCTCTACTGATTGCTTCTGGTTCCAACTTTTTCTAGTTTGTCTTGTGATGATCAAGTTGAAAACTACTCACTTCTTTCTTGTTTCACTTTCTGCTTTAAGATACACACTACTAGCATTTATTTTTACACTTGGAATTCCATATGGACGAGATTCTGTTTCAAGAATCAGCAATGGACAAGAGGGAAACGGAAATGATCAATGTGAATTGTTCAGCATTTCAACCAGTTCTAGTAACTAGAAGTGTATGCTCAATCTGAATAGTTTCAGCATTTGGTAAGAATCTCTGAACCAGTTCTAGTAATCAGAATCGTATGCTCACACTGTGCAGCTACACCACCATCAGCTGTTAGAGTAGTCCAGTTGTCTGGCCATGTTACACATTCCGTTGTCCCAATCGTGAGAATCGGTTCTGCAATGTGATGCATCCATCCAGAGCTTTTATTATTTAGTAAGCATAGGCAAATGAAAACCATGACATGGAAGAGAAAAAATGGCTAACCAATTGTGAAAGTTTGTCCCTCTACCATAAGTCCAGGCTCATCATTTCCTGCAAATTGGATACAAAATGAGCCACCAAAGACGAATTACAATGAAATGTGTGGCATTTACGGATACAATCACGAGCGATTCAAGTATGTATATGCATTCGAGAACAAAGACAACGCGTTTTTCAAAAAAGCAAAAGAGCGATTTTCGTAAGAAAGAGATTACTCACGGTAATGATATATAAGGGGTTCGGAATGGAATACTGGTCCAACACCATGCCCAACAAAGCGCTCCACAACGTTGAAACCGTACTTTTCGGCATGCTCACTGTTCGAAATGGAAACCATTGAAATTGTTTGGTCTATCAGTAAGTATCATTCAACTTCCCTGATTAATACATTTTCTGCCCGATTATATTGACTCGATAATGGTTTTTGGTTACTACCTGATTCTCTTCCCGATTTTTTTGAAGCTTGCTCCATCTTTACAAACGGCAATACCTTTCTCCAAGCACTCTTCCGTAACCTTACAAAACAATAAACCAAGCAACAATCAGCATATTAAACCAGAATCCATTTATTGCAAACCTTCATAGACAACACGGCGGAGAAGGAGAATCGTACTCTACCTTCACAAGTCGTTTAAAACCTTCATCAACATCTCCACAGAAGAAAGTTTTCGATGTATCTCCATGGTAACCCTGTTAAAGTTTCAACCCCAAAAGATGTTAATGTGATTTGACGTTTCAAGTTTTATGCGGTGACCGGGCCTAATTGATCTTTAAGCATACATATCAAACATAGAGGAAGTAAAATTGTATGCAGATTAGTGAAAGAAATGTAAAGACTTACATCCAAGTAAACCGTGACATCGATGTTTATTATATCCCCACTCTGCATTAAGAGGTAAGTAGTCAGTGATAAACATGTGAATTCATTCAAAAACTCTTCGGCTTAAAGCAGTTAAAAAGCACAATCCAAACCTGTAGCTGGCGAGAATCCGGTATTCCATGACACATACACTCGTTAACTGATGTACATACACTTTTAGGAAATCCACCATATCCAAGAGGTGAAGGATAAGCACCAGCTTCAATAATCATATTGTGAACCGCTTTGTCGATTTCATTAGTCGTAACAGACGGCTACACAACCATAACAGCAACTACTTAAACCATATATCACACATATATATACAAACAAGAGATACAAAAGGAACCTTAAAATCTTTACTTTAACCAAAGTTCCTGCATATTCTAAAACCCGAGCAGCGAGTTCGCAAGCAGCTTTCATTTTCGCAATGCCTTCAGGACCAGGAATCTGGAATTCACTCGATATATCCGGTAATACACCAGACTCAACATAAGGAGGCCTTGGTATGTGATCAGGAACAAGAAGACGAGGCGATACTCTTCCTCGTCTTAATGGTGGATTTCTCCTAACTTTTGAAGTAGTTTCAAGCTCTCTCATCCTTAGAAAAAATGTAAATCAGACCATTTTATTAATTACTCTTTTTATAATCTTGAATTCACATAATTGGTAGCAATCAATCAATACCTCCTGATTCTAATGGCTTCCTCTAACCCAGAAACTTTCTTGGAGGAAATTTGGAATTTTCTCGGAGAAAATGAGTTCTTCTTACCTAAAGAAGAATACTAAAAACGTTAACTTCATACACCAAAAAATTCTTCAATTTTCAACATTCAAATCGGAACAACGGAGAAAGTTTAAAGCTTTAAAATCTCCAATTCAGATAATCAACAGTTTCTTCTAACTCCAATTTTTCTTGGAGCTAAGCTATAACGAAACGAACAGAGTAAAACAAGTAAATGACAAACCGGAGAGTGATAGTGAAGAAGAAGTGACCGGAGCTCCGATAAAACATCTCGAAGAGGCTAAGTATTCGCCGTAAAACGAAGAACAGAGTTGCAAAGAGGACGATGAAGAGAAACTGGATAGAAAAACCGTAGATGCCATTTTCGCAAACTTCACTGCTAAACCCAAAATCACTACGAATCGATGAATTATTGAAAAAAGAAAAAATATAATTTTCTTGATATTTCATTTGAGATATCTTTCTATTGGACTAAGCCCATTAGGCATATGAGGCTATGATCAATCCTTCATGAGCTACTTAGGCCCAGGCCTTTTCTTCTTTTTTTGTCGTGGCCATGTTTAATTGGTGACAATATTAAAAAAAAAAATTTGAAAAAATGCCACTTTTCAAAAATGCCACATTTTCAAAATTTGCAAAAATATCACTTTTTCAAAAAAAATTCATTATATCATTTATGTTTGGCTTAACTACGTTGTATTATGGTTTAGTTTTGAGAGTTTAAAGGGTTTTAGGAGTCAAAATATTTTTCAATATTTTTAATTTTGAGATTTAGGATTTAAAATCCATAATTAATGGCATTTTGGTAAATAGACACCCCTAAGTAGCATTCTTACAAATGTACACACAAAAATGGCATTTTTACAATTGCCCCTTAAAAGAACGATCTAAAATGAATTTTTGACATATTTGATTGTTAGTAAATATTTTAATGTTCATATATTTGTAGGC